GAGAGGGAAAAAAAAGATTTCTCTCTGGAGAGGCCCCCTGGAACTTCCATGTCAAAATGAGAAAAGACTCCATTTGTAACTCAGCGCTTTTTCATATTTGAATCCTTATTTTTGCCCTTTGGAATGATGGATCTTTAGAGGACATGGAAACAACTACGTTGGACATGGATTTACAAAGTTTACATAAAAGAGCACCAAGTGAAGTGATTGCACATGAAAAGTCTCTTGTGTCACTTCTGCCGTAACACTTCACAAATAATTTTGCTCTTGCCCTAGTCAGGAACTCAGGAAAGCAATATCAATCTCCCAAAGGTCGAGAGCCTTACCAGGAAAGTAATACTGGGACTCCTAAGATGTTTTCAAGTTGGGGTGATTTATCTTTGGACGCCTCTAACATAAGGTATATATATATTCTCTTACAGTCTTAACCTCAGTTCTATAGAAACAACCCAGCTTAAGATAGCACCACATAATAACCATTTCAGGAAGAAAAAAAAATATGTTGCTAACCTTTATGTAAAGCTCTTACATCGATTTCTAAAGAACAGAATGCGACAGCAGAGAAAAACACAACACTATTTATCCCAAAAGCCATGGAGAACAGGAAGATAGAGTGCTCTCTCCTTTTAACCAAGCCTGTAGATTTTGATGTATTTTCAATTTAAGGAGTACTGAGCTTAGCAAAGCTGCAGTGTGCAACGTCGAAACGCTCAGCCACAGGTTAGTATAGTTTCTTGATAGTGACAGTAGAGGAACGATTTCTGAAATGTATACCGGGAGCACCGCTGTTGTCTTGACCTTTTTTCTGTCTGCTGAACAACTATATCTTATGTATAGAATTCTTTCCAGCCTCCTCCACTACATGTCTAGTTTTTATATGGTTTTGCAGCCAGAGAGGAAACCCCACAATAGGAACAAGGAGAAAAGGAATTTGCATGTTTATTACTTTAAAACCATTTTGGCTTGACCTTTCCTGAAGAATGGTTTCAAGACTGAATTCTCTGAGTGTGAATGCAAAGGTTAACTGTCTTTATCGAGCATTGCTGATAGGCCCCTAGCAAAAGCTGACAGTTTGCTGGAGGGGCACAGGTAGAGAAGGGCAGGAGAGCGCAGGTTTTATATCAAAAAGACAAATCCCTTAGTATCTGCAGTAAGATGTTCATGTTCCAGGCTGGGACATGAATAAATGAAGTGGGTTATGCTAAGAGTATGTTGGTTGTTATAGAGTACTATATTTTTCATTACGGAATGACTAACTTAAAACAGAAATATAACCACCTACTTATGCTCATCAATAGTCCTCCCACATCAAGTATGAGTTTCCCTGGCTCACCCTTTAAAAAAAAAACAAAAAAAAACTTACAGAACTCTTCTGAGTATTAGTTCTCCTCTCTGACTTAAATTGTGAGGTGATTTACAGATTTACAAGCCTGTTCTGTTTAAGACCACAAAGCTATTGAATCAACCTCTTGTTTAAACTCTTGTGGGTTCCTTGTTTGAGTTTCTTTATGAAATATTTCATAAATTACATAAATCTATTACACATCACAAGACTTTATTGTCACAAAACCTCATCTGTGGCCAGTTTCATGTAAATGTTAAGTAAGTAGTTTTATTTCACCAGAAAACGTGCAATTGTACACAGACTATAAACATTCTCTTGTGAACTGAATAAAGAAATGCAGCCAATGTTTACAAAATTACTCAGAAATAGTGTATAGTGCTTAATGGTTTTTGGATATTAAACACCATAATTCCAAGACACTCAGACACACTATTAAAAATAATGTCTTGGGATTGTAATGCAAAATTCTCACTGAGCCAGCTTCTTCAAGGAGTAAGAAACAATTTCCAAAGATGTTCTTATTCCATCATGTTAATAATACCACTGTTGTCATACTTCCAATTACAAACCAACTTTCCTCTAGAAAAATATCAGTAGTTTACAGACTGCATAAATTACTATCTCCTACTAAGATCATACACAAATTGTGATTATTAAGCAAGTATAAGAGAAACGGTCAAAAATACACTGAAGGAACTGTATGTCAAACAACAACTGGAAAACTGTGAAGGACAAAAACTGTAACAACCCATTTGGCGCCAACAAAAATCACAAGTTAACAGGGGTCCAGCAAACACAAAGGCCTCTCCACTGTTCTTTATGAATCAAAATCAGACAATTTCAAACAATTAAATACAAATGCATCAAAATAAATTTTGAATATATTAACTGCAAAGTGTTTAAGTTAATTTGCAATATTTTATACACAAATACAAATTACAAAGCTCTATAAAATGCATAATATGCTCCCACATACAATATTCATGTCAGTTCAAAATGTGAGTATAGATAAGTTCTTAAGCATGTATACGCACACACACGTTTCAGATAACAGCAACAGCGTTGTAACACTAAACCTAAGACTGTAGCGCAACTACCAAGGAATGATTTAGTTTGCATTTTCAGTATTTTTCCTTTAAAACATAAACCACACAGGCTTGTGAATTAAAAAAATCACAGGAAAGTTCATATATGCATCTGAGAGAGAAGATGAGACAGATCAAAGGAAAAACAGAACAGCTCAAAATCTCTGGATGAGTACTCTTTTCAGTACTGATCTGGTTCATCAGAAATTCATGCACAGACTGGTAAGGTGAAACATATCTACCCTCATTAGCAGGTGTTGCACACACGATTTTTGTTCAGTTTGTCACAAAATGACCTTTAAAAATGTATATACAACTCATGACCATCATTACAATAAATAAGACACACATTTCAAATTGATACTTAATGCCTGATCTGAGGCTTATAAGATCTTTATATATGGCCTAATATATATTTCCAATATCATTACATATTACCATCACAGCCAGCACATTTGTCTTGTAATTTTAGCAGGGAATTTAGCGTTATTCTTTTCGGTGCTTACTTGCATTCACTATTCGTAATGGAGGAAACCCATTGTCATGAAAGACAGTGTCCAGCTTCCTTCCAAAATTCCTAGGAAGTTCTGCTCTGACCCCCTGTTGTCATGTCATACATTCTTCATATG